ACATACAGTATATATATGGTTGAGCTAACGTGCGCTAATGTGATTAGCATGACTTTTGTAAGTAACACAACATGCATCAATTTCCAAAATGTTCCTGAGTTACAGTTCATACACCATATATATATATAAATACAGTGGGGAAAAAAAGTATTTAGTCAGCCACCAATTGTGCAAGTTCTCCCACTTAAAAAGATGAGAGAGGCCTGTAATTTTCATCATAGGTACACGTCAACTATGACAGACAAAATGAGATTTTTCTTTCAAGAAAATCACATTGTAGGATTATTTATGAATTTATTTGCAAATTATGGTGGAAAATAAGTATTTGGTCAATAACAAAAGTTTCTCAATACTTTGTTATATACCCTTTGTTGGCAATGACACAGGACAAACGTTTTCTGTAAGTCTTCACAAGGTTTTCACACACTGTTGCTGGTATTTTGGCCCATTCCTCCATGCAGATCTCCTCTAGAGCAGTGATGTTTTGGGGCTGTCGCTGGGCAACACGGACTTTCAACTCCCTCCAAAGATTTTCGATGGGGTTGAGATCTGGAGACTGGCTAGGCCACTCCAGGACCTTGAAATGCTTCTTACGAAGCCACTCCTTCGTTGCCCGGGTGGTGTGTTTGGGATCATTGTCATGCTGAAAGACCCAGCCACGTTTCATCTTCAATGCACTTGCTGATGGAAGGAGGTTTTCACTCAAAATCTCACGATACATGGCCCCATTCATTCTTTCCTTTACACTGATCAGTCGTCCTGGTCCCTTTGCAGAAAAACAGCCCCAAAGCATGATGTTTCCACCCCCATGCTTCACATGGTGTTCTTTGGATGCAACTCAGCATTCTTTGTCCTCCAAACACGACGAGTTGAGTTTTTACCAAAAAGTTATATTTTGGTTTCATCTGACCATATGACATTCTCCCAATCCTCTTCTGGATCATCCAAATGCACTCTAGCAAACTTCAGACGGGCCTGGACATGTACTGGCTTAAGCAGGGGGACACGTCTGGCACTGCAGGAATTTAGTCCCTGTCGGCGTAGTGTGTTACTGATGGTGGGCTTTGTTACTTTGGTCCCAGCTCTCTGCAGGTCATTCACTATGTCCCCCCGTGCGGTTCTGGGATTTTTGCTCACCGTTCTTGTGATCATATTGACCCCACGGGGTGAGATCTTGCGTGGAGCCCCAGATCGAGGGAGATTATCAGTGGTCTTGTATATCTTCCATTTCCTAATAATTGCTCCCACAGTTGATTTCTTCAAACCAAGCTGCTTACCTATTGCAGATTCAGTCTTCCCAGCCTGGTGCAGGTCTACAATTTTGTTTCTGGTGTCCTTTGACAGCTCTCTGGTCTTGGCCATAGTGGAGTTTAGAGTGTGACTGTTTGAGGTTGTGGACAGGTGTCTTTTATACTGATAACAAGTTCAAACAGGTGCCATTAATACAGGTAACGAGTGGATGACAGAGGAGCCTCTTAAAGAAGAAGTTACAGGTCTGTGAGAGCCAGAAATCTTGCTTGTTTGTAGGTGACCAAATACTTATTTTCCACCATAATTTGCAAATAAATTCATTAAAAATCCTACAATGTGATTTTCTGGAAAAAAAATTCTCAATTTGTCTGTCATAGTTGACGTGTACCTTTGAAGAAAATTACAGGCCTCTCTCATCTTTTTAAGTGGGAGAACTTGCACAATTGGTGGCTGACTAAATACTTTTTTCCCCCACTGTATATAAAAGACACCCCTTCCAATTAGTGGATTTGGCTATTTTAGCCACACCCGTTGCTGACAGGTGTATACGATCAAGCAGGTGTGAAGCTCAGTTGGTAGAGCACGGCGCTTGTAACACCAGGGTAGTGGGTTCGATCCCCGCGACCACCCATATACAAAAAAAAAAATTATGTACGCATGACTGTAAGTCGCTTTGGATAAAAGCGTCTGCTAAATGGCATATTATTATTATATTATAAGCTGGATGTGGAGGTCCTGGGCTGTCGTGGTTGCACATGCTCTGCAGTTGTGAGGACGATTGCACCTACTGCCAAATTTTCTAAAATGTCGTTGGAGGCGGCTTATGGTAGAGAAATTAACATTAAATTATCTGGCAACAGCTCTTGTAGACATTCCTGCATTCAGCATGCTAATTGCACGTGTGACATTGTGATGTGTGACTTTTTAGAGTGACATTTTACTGTCCCCAACACAAGGTGCACCTGTGTAATGATTGTGCTCTTTAATCAGCTTCTTGATATGCCACACCTGTCAGGTGGATGGATTATCATGGCAAAGGAGAAATGCTCACTAACAGTGACGCAAAAACATTTGTGCACAAAATTTGAGAGACATTTCTGTGCGATAGTTTTTTTGCGTATGGGAAATGTATGGGATCTTTTAATTCAGCTCATGAAACATGGGACCAACATTTTACATGATGCGTTTTATATTTTTGTTCAGTGTATGTACGCGGGTGCACAAGCATCAGGTGCGTGTCTTGACTATATCTCACCCAAGATATCTCCCTGGACTCATACGGTAGCAGGGAGATTTCTGAGGTCCAGATTGGAAGCATGTAGAAACTGTCCCATTACAGAGAATATACTTGCTCCGTATATGAAATTAAGGACATACGTATCTAGAGCATGTCTACTCCATATATCTAATACAATGTCAGATATCCAGAAATATATAGATAAAGATTTTACCTGATATTGACCCTTTTTTGCCCAGTGTTACCCCCCACATCAACAGTTCTCCAGGTGCCCAGTGTGGCAGCCCCCAGCACCTCTTCATAAACCTGTATATGTATTTTGTCTTAGGGATGTTTTGGGATGTGAGCTAGACTCACATGCCTGAACATGTGTGCCAAATGTTATCACTCTGAGTCAAACAGATCAAGAGATTTAAATGTGCCCATTACAGTGTGGCCGATCTGAATGTGCTTGCATTTGTTGAGTCTTGACAATGTTTGGAACATGTGTATCAAGTTTTGTTGTATGCATTTATGTGCCAGACAACGCCCATGTGAAAGTTTATTGGTCAGTAGCGGCCATGTTGTTTGAGCTACTAGCCTGGAAAATATTGTGTTGAGAGTCCGTCGTCCATAGATGCCACATACCGTGGGGAAAAAAAGTATTTAGTCAGCCACCAATTGTGCAAGTTCTCCCACTAACAAAGATGAGAGAGGCCTGTAATTTTCATCGTAGGTACACGTCAACTATGACAGACAAATTGAGAGAAAAAAAATCCAGAAAATCACATTGTAGGATTTTTACTGAATTTATTTGCAAATTATGGTGGAAAATAAGTATTTGGTCACCTACAAACAAGCAAGATTTCAGACCTGTAACTTCTTCTTTAAGAGGCTCCTCTGTCCTCCACTCGTTACCTGTATTAATGGCACCTGTTTGAACTTGTTATCAGTATAAAAGACACCTGTCCACAACCTCAAACAGTCACACTCCAAACTCCACTATGGCCAAGACCAAAGAGCAGTCAAATGACACCAGAAACAAAATTGTAGACCTGCACCAGGCTGGGAAGACTGAATCTGCAATAGGTAAGCAGCTTGGTTTGAAGAAATCAACTGTGGGAGCAATTATTAGGAAATGAAAGACATACAAGACCACTGATAATCTCCCTCAATCTGGGGCTCCACGCAAGATCTCACCCCGTGGGGTCAAAATGATCACAAGAACGGTGAGCAAAAATTCCAGAACCACACCTAGTGAATGACCTGCAGAGAGCTGGGACCAAAGTAACAAAGCCTACCATCAGTAACACACTACGCCGCCAGGGACTCAAATCCTGCAGTGCCAGACGTGTCCCCCTGCTTAAGCCAGTACATGTCCAGGCCTGTCTGAAGTTCGCTAGAGTGCATGTGGATGATCCAGAAGAGGATTGGGAGAATGTCATATGGTCAGATGAAACCAAAATAGAACTTTTTGGTAAAAACTCAACTCGTTGTTTTGGAGGACAAAGAATGCTGAGGTGCGTCCAAAGAACACCATACCTACTGTGAAGCATGGGGGTGGAAACATCATGCTTTGGGGCTGTTTTTTTAATAACAGTATTGTGACGCAACGTGCAACCCATGAATTTGTTTCAAAAGTTGTTCATTTTAGAATTATAAATACTAATGACTACCTTCAAACTGGATTTACCACAACTCTGTCAAACAGGTAGCTATCGGACAGGTCCAGCAGGTCTTTGGTTGGAGAGATAGAATGCTGGGGGGGGGGGGGTAAAGGATGAGAGAGAGAAATAGAGGGAGGGGTCTGACTGGACAGGTCCTTAAAAAGGAGAGAGGGGAAAGGTAGAACTCAACTCAAAGACAGGACAGAGAGAGAGATACCAAGTGAAGACATCTGAAGATCTCAGAAGAAGTGAAGCTACAAGTGAAGATTTCAGAAGGTGAGATTTCAACATCAGTTCATATAATACTGTATCTTCTGCATTCCAAATGACATCTTATTTCCTATGTAGCGCATTACTTTTGACCAGGTCCCATAGGGCATATGTGACCCTCGTCAAATGTAGTGCACTACATAGTGAATAGGGTGTCATTTGTGAAGCGCTCCCCTGAATTCAAGAGCATAGACTTTTCCTTACCATTGAAGTAAATAGTGAATCTCAGATATTGGATGCTTCCAATTACTTTTGTAGTGCACTGTGGGCCCTGGCTGTTCAAAAGTAGTGCACTACATAGGTAATGGGGTGCCATTTGGGGTACATGCATATTCCTGTGTGCTAGGCTAATCTCCTCTGTGGTGGAAGAGATGATACCTGGTATTCCATTGCCCTTCATTAGCTGAATCTGCTCTGATGTGATAGTACTGGAATACATCAGATAAGTGGAATGGCTGGGGGTACTCCAGGAGAGGTTAGGGAAACACTGCACTTACCTACACTCTGAAGTACTCACCGAATTTGACTTGATGGCTTCTCTTTCACTGTCTTTGTCTGTCTCTTTGTGTGTCTCTCGCGCTCTCTTTCTCTCTCAGGACACTATCACCATGGCAATGTTGACCATTCTTCTGCTTCTCAGTGCTGCCTTTGCACTGGGCAATGCCTTAACTCTGGACGAAGCAAGTAAGAGAGTTCACCTCACACTTTACATCATTATTTTAAATGTTGTAGCAGAGGTGTGTGTGTGTGCATGTGTGTTGAATGACTGATCTACAAATAATACTGAGTAGTTATTTATGATGCCAGGTAGATCAATCAGTCTCGACTCACCTTTAAAGTTGGCTGCAATTTGGAACACGCCCTGTGTCTTCTCCTTACAGATTCTATGGTGGCATTTGCAGCAGATAAAAAAAGCCCCTGCCCCAAAGGCTGGTTCCAGTTTAATTCACGTTGCTTCATGTTTGTCGAGACTAAAAGGACATGGCCCGAAGCAGAGGTATGATGATTACCCTCTACTGTGAATTAAAGAAGTTCAATTGAAATCAACTCGCTTATTTGGTTTGACGTTACCTTAAAGGTGATTTGGTCTTATTTTAACAGGCACCACATGGAGGTTCAGTATGTAAAATCCTGAACCTCCCCTTTAAGTTGCCTAATTTGAATTTTCTATAGGCTTTGCAAAATGTATTTAATTTGTGGAGTCAGGCCTGTATATTGGAACCCACAGGTCATGGGTTAAAACAGAGATAAACTAATATCTCTAAGAGCCTATTTAAAAGAACATTAGTTGTGATGGCCAATATTTGATTGTGAGAATTTGTGTTCTAGGACTCACAAAGACTGAACCACTGACTAATACTTACATTATGTCTTTGTCCCTGTCTACTGCTTGCTTTAGCGCCACTGTATGTTCCTTGGAGCAAACCTGGTGTCTGTGCAGAACACTGTAAAGTTCCTTGGAGCAAACCTGGCGTCTGCGCACAGCTCTGAGGAGTCCCAATTTCTACAGGCGGTGGTGTTAATCAAGACTGGCGGTTTCCCTCTTACCTGGATTGGAGGATATGATGCTGTTCAGGCAAATGTGATAAAGGTACCCAATTGTCATATTTGATCAAAAGTTAAAATACCTTAAAAGAAAATGACTCAACAGTTAAAGGTATACTCTACCTGAACAGTTCAGCTAGAGTATAATCACAAATTAATAGGATTTTTGTTATACTCATCAATATGTCAAGTCAGGGCCCGTACTCACAAAGTGTCTCAGAAAATGAATCCTGTTAAAACCTGTTTTAAGACAAACAACTCCCAACAAGAGTTTGGGGTGATGTTTAATATACCGGTCAGACAAACTCTGAGCCAGGAGTAAAATCAACTCATTAAAGTTTATCTCAGCTGGGAATCATTACATTTTGAGGTACTACAAAGGAAGAATAGTGATGACGCTCTTTGACGTGTTACAAATGATGGGGAATAACCAATCACAATGAGACTTCGCCACCTGGGAACTCTATTGCATACTTCAGACTACCATGGCGAATGTGACTTTACATCAAATGTTGCAATGGTAAAAAGTTTGATATAATTGTCGCCTGACACAATCTCTTTGCGTTCTCTTAATTATTTCCTAACATGTTGGGATGCATGTTTTGTTTTACCAATTCTGATATTTTGAATAATGTCATAGGCATATTCAGGGTTGGGGAGTAACGGATGACATGTAATGGATTACACAAACTGTAATCCGTTACATTACCAGAAAAAAAGATTGTAATCAGATTACAAATACTTTAGAAAAACTAGATGATTACTTCTAGGATTACTTTTCAATTCAGAATGGATGTATTTCTGTTTTCTCAATGACATTCAAATCAGCGTTGAATAAAGGCTCAAGTTTAACTTTGTTCCGCCTGAGTGAATCTGACTTCAAATCAGAGACCACTATGATACCAAATGTGTTTGATGGGTCGCGGGAAAAGAGCAGGAATAGGCTTTTTTAGGCTACAGTCCAAGCTGTGTCTTCCAATGGTGCAACTGCTGTCGGCATCCAAAGATTATCCAACTTGAATAAAAACTTGGAAGTTAGGATGACAGCAGTGGTGTAGCATGCGGGAGATACGGCTGTCACTTATTTTGATAATATTACCGTTATATCCACACACTGGTCACTCCTATTTAACAATTCTGAATGGCTTTGGAACAGTAGGCATCAAGTTCCTTTCCGATAATATTGCATAAATGCTTGAAAGGGCTATTATTTTTACCGAACAAAGCCCCTAGATGCTTTCAATTGCCCAATTTTATAGGCATGCCCAATTTAGGCATATTTTTTAACAACATGTTATTCCGCTTGAAAAACATGGTTAATGAAATAATCGGAAAGAAATGTGATTATTTATTAGCCTAGTGGTTACGAGTATTTAGGCATATCATGTGAATAAGGCCTCAGGTGAAATCATTGTCTAAAGCGCAAGAGATATTGTTGCTTGTAGGTCTAGATTATTTATGAGGTCAGATCTACTTTTGGAAGATCTTATAGATGTACAAAAAAAGTTCACTGCAGTATCCACTGACACACAGTGGCTTATAGTGGGCTAGCATAGTAGGCTAGAGTGAGTACTATAGCATCATAAACCATACATTGTTTTAATATCGAAAAATGTTTCCGTTTTAACATTCTGGAAGTTCTGTGCAGTGATTTCAGTTTAGAATGTTGAAGCCAACAAACACTATTTTTTCCCTTCAGACATATTTGCACGTGTGATAGAAGGGCACATTATGTACTGGCATTTTTTAACATGCTGCACGACGCTCCTCAGCTCAGCAACAACAACAATAACAATGGTGGTGGGGCGGTCAGTGGTGCTGTTTCCCCTACTGCGGATTCCATCTTTAAACGGTTGTACATTACTTGTATGTGATTTCTTTGATACTGAGACCTCACTTATTCCCCACAGGACAGGCTGTGGTTCTGGAGTGACGGCTCCAAATTTGATCACCAGAGCTGGGCGAAAAATGAGCCCAATAACTATAACGGTGCCAGAGAGCCATGCATTCAGATGAACTTTGGAGGTACAGTAAGCCCACTATAAATCACTGATCCATTCATCAAATTAAACTTTATTCATAGTAAGTTTAACAAATAAATTTGACACATACACACTTTTATTTTATTTTTGTGTGTACATCTGTGTTGATTTGAGGTAATTTCTATTCCACATTTCCTCTTAAGGTGAACACCGCTGGAACGATGAATTATGTGGAAAGAGCTATCCCTCTGTGTGCTCCATAAGAACCTGTTCAATCCGTCAAACTATCAACTGAAACCAAATATACTACTCCGTGGTGTCAGCATCCTAACTTAAAAATGTTCATGGTCAAGTCAAATACTTTGTGAAGATTATTTGTTGCTGTAAAATGAACGTTTTAGTTACTTGTTGCATACATAAATGTTGAGTAATGATTTTGTGGTTTGGTGTCAATAAAACAGGTGTGCACATTATTTTCTCTCATGAGTCATTATTGAACATGAATGATATTTACATAATTGTCAAATCCTTTGAGATGATTCTTAAAGATACAGTATAGGATCTGGGAGTCTGTTCAGCGGTCATTTAAATTATGTGATATTTTTCCATTAATTCTTGAATAATATAATTAATAAATGACTCTCTTTTACGACCGAAAAGGCTTTATTACTCCACAAACAACACGAACGTAAACAAACAATGTATATAGCTTTAAAATAAGTAAAAAAATTATAATGTGCATGTCATAGACTTTCAGTGTGCACTTTTTGAATTTGAGAGGTGTTACATTTCCCTGCACCATCCATTCTCTCTATACCAAGAATGTAGCTTTTTGTTTCCAAACTCTCACTGGGTATAGACGTGTGAGTCAAGATGTGCTTGTTAGAGCCACATGTATTGGACTTGTATGGAATGGTGTGATACTCACAGTGTGACATGTTTATTCCCTCTGTTAACAGCTATGTAGTATAATTACATCAACATGATCATGGTAATGAACACATTTCGTTTTGTCATTTGCTACTTTGTACTTGTTAAATGCTGAATGAGCGAGAATGTGAATACGATATAGTATAATATAATATTATAGCTTAACACATCATGTTACATTACATTGTTAAACATAAAAACTATTTTCAGTGACAAGTTGGTGAGAAGGCCGGTCTGAAGCCAAAAAATTAAGGAAAATCACGAGCACCCATGCTCTAGCAAGCTTTTACAGCACACAGCTTTGACCTACCACAGTAGCTATGTTGGGCAGCTGTACTTCAAACAACATGCAGGCAGGATGCTTAGGATTCAAACCTTGTCAACGCCAATCAACATCCGCCGGTTGAATATAGACAGTGGGACAGTAAGTTGCATTCTGGACATTCTACCAAAAATGTAGGGCTATTTCTTTATTAGCTGCAAAACTTCACAATGTAATTTTACATTAACATAATTGAAAGATTATTGATGAGAGCCTATGTACATTATATATCATCGTTAATAATGATGTATAGCCTATGTATAATTGTAGGCTTCAAGGGACGCGAACACTCATCAAATGACACTTGAAGATAGCGTGGTCTACTTAAACCATGTTCATGACAGACAGGAGACAGTACTTCAAGTCTCAGGAGGGATGACATCACAATGGCTACTAGAACTCACCTTCAGCTCACCTCTGCTAAATCTTAGTCTACTGGGCTATGACCAAGATGGCACCATCTAGCGAGATCCCACACAACTTTGCGATTATGATTTTATTTGTTGTTTATCTTTAGTTTTTGTACAGAACGTTTCCTGTGTTTTTCATATTTCTTATGTTTTTACTTTATATTATTTTGTCTTTATTAGGATCCCCAATTAGCTGCTGCCAAGGCAGCACACAGTTCGGACACTCATCGGTACCACAAAAGACATGCAACCAGTGGTCTCTTCACAGTCCCCAGGTCCAGAACAGGCATGGAATCGCACAGTATTAAGAGTCTATTGACTCACGGAATTTGCATTAGAGATGTTTCTATTAAAGAAAACCCTCTGTGTTCTATTAGATGAGTAACATTCAATCCATTATAAGGCAGAGGATGTAAATCCATAACACTTCAGTTTTTTCAACAATAGGTTATGACCAATGATATCAAAAGCTGCACTGAAGTCTAACAAAACAGCTCCCACAATCTTCTTATTTTCAATGTTGTCACGACTTCCTTCGAAGCTGCCTCTCCTTGTTCGGGCAGGCTTCGTCGTTTGTCGTCACCGGCCTTCTAGCCACTGCCGCTCCTCATCTCATCATTCCATTTGTTTTGTCTTGTTTATGACACACACCTGGTTCATATCCCCTCATCAGTACCCGTATAAGTGTTCCCTCTGCCCCCTTGTCTTTGTGTGTGATTGTTTATTGTGTGGATTAGATTAGCTCGGTGGAGCTCCTTGTATTTTGTATCACCGGGATATTGACCCGTGTGCCTCGTTGTTTTCCAGTGCGCCTGTATTCCGCACTGGATTGTTTGACACATTGCTGCGTACCGCTGAGTTTACAGAATAAACATTTTATTCTGTGATTTGTCCTTCTGAGCCTGACTCCTTCAAATCACTCACGACACATTTCTGTCAGCCAATCATCAGTCATTTGTGTCAGTGCCTAGCATGTTGAGTGCCCCTCCCTTTTAGCATGCTGAAAGTCTGTTGTTCATTTGTTTTCTGTAAAATAACATTGTATTTGGTCTAACACTATTTTTTCGAAAGGTTTGCTAAGCACCGGCAACAGGCTGATTGGTTGGGTGTTTGAACAAGGTTGCTTTGCTATTCTTGAGCAGCAGAAGTACCTTTGCCTCCCTCCAGGCATGAGGGCAAACACCATATTCTAGGCTTAATCCTTAAGAGTCTAGTTCCATCAAAATCCCTCAGTTTAAGAGATATCTGTTTTTTTGCTTGGTCTGTGTCTCAATCCACCACATCCGCCTATGTCAGCCTTCCATGTCTGTGGTGGAGGGTGGCCAAGCTACAGCGGTGTTTGTCAGACAATGAGACATCCCAGAAATGGCAACTCTGTGGAAAGATGAGACTCTCACATACACAATGGTGTTCTCTGTTTTGCTCTACGACCCTCACAAGCCGTAGAGCAAAACATACATCCCGGGTACAAAGAGCAGGCGTTTCGCACAGAGCCATCTCCACCTCAGTGCCCAGCTGGGCTGCAGTACGTGCCTGCTCTTATCCGTGATCGTCACACACGTCACCTTCCTCTGGTCACCCAAGTATCGGTCGTACAGTACGCTGCCTGACCGGAAAGTACTGGTGGCCTACCTTGGCTAAGGACATGACGGTGTATGTCTCCTCCTGCTCAGTGTGCGCCCAGAGTAAGGCACCTAGGCACCTCCCAGCGGTTAATCACAACCTTTACCAGTTCCACAACGACCATGGTATCACCTGAGTGTTGATTTCCTTACCGAAATCTTCCCCTCTCCCAAGGTAACTCCACCATCCTGGTTGTTGTGGACCGCTTTTCCAAGGCCTGCCACCTCCTTCCTCTGCCCGGTCTCCCCACGGCCCTGCAAACTGCAGAGGCCCTGTTTACACATGTCTTCCAGCACTACGGGTTAGCAGAGGATATAGTGTCTGACCGGGGTCCCCAGTTCACATCCAAGGTCTGGAAGGCATTCATGGAACATCTGGGGGTCTCGGTCAGCCTGACCTCTGCTTTCCACCCCGAGTCTAATGGGCAGGTGGAACGGGTAAATGAGGGGGATGAGGTGCTGTCATGCCTGGGTGGTTGGAATCTTTGGCAATTTTTTGGGCTGTAGAACTGTACAACCTTTTGAGGATCTGAGGGCCCATGCCAAATCTTTTCAGCCTCCTGAGGGGGAAGAGGTGCTGTTGTGCCCTCTTCACGACTATGCAGGTGTGTGTGAACCATGTTAAGTACTTACTGATGTGGATGCCAAAGATTTCTCCCTTTCTCCTTTAGTCCACAATCAGCTCCTTGGTCTTACTGAAGTTGAGGGAGAAGTTATTGTCCTGGCACCACACTGCCAAGTCTCTGAACTCCTCCCTGTAGGCTGTCTCATCGCCGTCGGTAATCAGGCCTACCACCATCGTGTCGTCATTAAACTTGATGATGATGTTGGAGTCTTGCGTGGCCACGCAGTCATGGGTGAACAGGGAGTTAAGGAGGGGTCTAAGCACACACCCCTGAGGGTCACCCGTGTTGAAGGTCAGAGCGGCGGAGTTGTAGGTGTAGGTTACCTTGGAGTTCTTGGGAACGGACAGTGGTGGTCATCTTAAAACATGTTGGGATTACAGACTGGGTCAAGGAGATACTGAAAATATCTGTGAAGACACTAGCCAGCTGGTCTGCGCATGTTTTGAAATCCAGCCCTGGTATTCCGTCTGGCCTAGCGGCCTTGAAAGTGTTAAGCTGTTTAAAAGTTTTGCTCACATCGGCCACAGAGAGCGAGATCACACAGTCATCCGGAACAACAGGGGCTTTCACCCAAGACAGTGTTGTATTACTCGAACTGAGCATTAAAGGCATTTAGCTCATTTGGGAGTTCTGCATTACTGGGCATCTCACTGCTGGTTTTCCCTTTGTAATCCATTATCATCTGCAAGCCTTGCCACATACGATGAGCGTCAGAGCCAGTGTAATAAGATTCTACCTTCCTCTTTTATTGTCCTTCTGCATGTTTGATGTCTCTTCGGAGATCGTAGCAGGCTTTCTTGTATGTGTCCACGTCCTGTTCGTTGTAAGCAGTAGCTCTAGCCTTTAGCCCAGCGCGTATCTGGATTGTAATCCATGTTTTTTGGTTTGGATACGTTCGTATAGTCACTGTGGGGGCGACGTCATCTGTGCACTTATTGATGAAGCCCGTGACTGATAAGTATTCTCCTCAATGTCTGTACTAGCAAAACAGTCTTGTAACCTCACGTCTGCTTCATCAGACCACTTCTGTATTGAGCACATCACTGGTACTTCCTGTTTTGAGCTTTTGTTTCTAAACAGGAAACAGGCCTCCACCCAGTACCCTACCCTGAACGTAGTCACTGTCACTAGACGGTTACCACCCGGTTACTCAACCCTGCGCCTTAGAGGCTGCTGCCCTATGAACAGTTGAAGTTGGACGTTTACATACACTTAGGTTGGAGTCATTAAAACTAGTTTTTCAACCACTCCACACATTTCTTCTTAACAAACTTTCGTTTTGGCAAGTCGGTTAGGACATCTACTTTGTGCATGACACAAGTAATTTTTCCAACAATTGTTTACAGACAGATTATTTAACTTATAATTCACTGTATCACAATTCCAGTGCGTCAGAAGTTTAAATACACTAAGTTGACTGTGCCTTTAAACAGCTTGGAAAATTCCAGAAAATGATGTCATTGCTTTAGAAGCTTCTGATAGGCTAATTGACATCATTTGAGTCAATTGGAGGTCTACCTGTCGATGTATTTCAAGGCCTACCTTCAAACTCAGTGCCTCTTTGCTTGACATCATGGGAAAATCAAAAGAAATCAGCCAAAATCTCAGAAAAAAGATTGTAGACCTCCACAAATCTGGTTCATCTTTTGGAGTGATTTCCAAGAGCCTGAATGTACCACGTTCATCTGTACAAACAATAGTATGCAAGTTTAAACACCATGGGAACACGCAGCCGTCATACCGCTCAGGAAGGAGACGCGTTCTGTCTCCTAGAGATGAACATACTTTGGTGCGAAAAGTGCAAATCAATGTCAGAACAACAGCAAAGGACTTTGTGAGGATGGTGGAGGAAACAGGTACAAAAGTATCTATATCCACAGCAAAACGAGTCCTATATCGGCATAACCTAAAAGGCCGACCAGCAAGGAAGAAGCCACTGCTCCAAAACCGCCATAAATAAAGCCAGACTACGGTTTGCAACTCCACATGGGGACAAAGATCATACTTTTTGGAGATATGTCCTCTGGTCTGATTAAACAAAAATAGAACTGTTTGGCCATAATGACCATCGTTATGTTTGGAGGAAAAAAGGGGTTGCTTGCAAGCCAAAGAACACCATCCCAACCGTGAAGCACGGGGGTGGCAGCATAATGCTTTGGGGGTGTTTTGCTGCAGGAGGGACTGGTGCACTTCACAAAATAGATGGCATCATGAGGAAGGAAAATTATGTGGATATATTGCCGCAACATCTCAAGACATCAGTCAGGAAGTTAAAGCTTCGTCACAAATGGGTCTTCCAAATGGGCAATGATCACAAGCATACTTCCAGGTTGTGGCAAAATGGCTTAAGGACAACAAAGTCTAGGGAATGGAGTGGCCATCACAAAGCCCTGACCTCAATCCTATAGAAAATTTGTCGGCAGAACTGAAAAAGCGTGTGCGAGCAAGGAGGCCTACAAACCTGACTCAGTTCCACCCTCTCTGTTATGAGGACTGGGCCAAAATTCACCCAACTTATTGTGGGAAGCTTGTGGAAGGCTACCCGAAACGTTTGACCCAAGTTAAACAATTTAAAGGCAATGCTACTAAATACTAATTGAGTGTATGTAAACTTCTGACCCACTGGGAACGTGATGAAAGAAATAAAAGCTTAAATAAATATTTATTTCTACTGTCATTTTGACATTTCACATTCTTAAAATAAAGTGGTGATCCTAACTGACCTAAGACAGGGAATTTTTACTAGAATTAAATGTCAGGAATTGTGAAAAACTTAGTTTAAATGTATTTGGCTAAGGTATATGTAAACTTTCGACTTCAACTGTATGTGACCAATAACATTTGATTTGAGTGTTGATGAGATTTGCAGAAGGGAGGACGAGGGAGGGCCTTATATCCGTTTCTGTGGGTTGAATGTACGTGTTCAATAAAGTATTGTAGCTTTAAGCCAACAACATATCTTGTATACACTAAGTACAGTTTTACACAGGAAACCTTCAACAAGACATAGTTGTGTCCCAAATGGCACTATATTCACTACTTTTGACCAGAGCCCTATTGCTAGATTATTATGAGGTTAATGGTGTTTTTTCACTTTATTTCACTCCTGCCATCAAAGACTGTAGAAGACGGACCAGATAGTCCAAAATAAATTATGAAATCTTTCACAACGTCTACACACTACACTAGAAGAGGTCAGAGGTAAGGCCACTATAGTATCCCGACTGTAGAAGATGGATGTGATAGTAAACTGGTCAGCTGATCAAGGGGTAGAAAATTGACCCTATTGTTGTGTCCCACATGGCACACTATTCCAGCCACTTCTTTTGAACAGGGCTCAGAGGGCTCTGGTCAGAGGTAGTCAACTAAATAGGGAAAAGGGTTCCATTTGGGACATAACTTTCCATCCATTCCTTTGTCATGTTCTTCCAGAAAAACAGAAACTCACCTAGACGTCCAGGTGTGGTGAGAGAGAGAGAGAGAGGCCTCACACATACAAAGAAAGTTATGCTAGCTATTCACCCTCTCCTCCCCTCTTTCCACTTCTCATCCCCTCATCTTCTCACAAAGGAATGCTGCTGGTCCTACTCCATATCTCCCCCCAACACTTCAGCCTTAAGACACTGACCCATCACCTGTCCTCCTCCCTTCCCCTCTCAGCTGCTCTCCTCCACTCCTCCCTCCTCTCTATTACCCTGGTCCTGCAGCATATCTCCCCTCCAGCACCTCAGCCTTAAGAAATTGACCCATCACCCCATATGTAGAATTATAGAATGAATAGAATTAGAATGACAGCCATTCCTGTTCCGTTGCAATGTTCCGTGCTGCCTGGACCGGACCGATAGCCTTAAAGGAGTTGTAGTTAAAAGGTGTCATGTTAGGAATGTCTCATTCACTGATTCTTATCAGAAGCCTGGATAATATATATACATACATACACTTTAAGTCGGAATTTTACATACACTTAGGTTTTTGAACCACTCCACACATTTCTTGTTAACAAACTATAGTTTTGGCAAGTCGGTTAGGACATCTACTTTGTGCATGAAATTTTTCCAACAATTGTTTACAGACAGATTATTTCACTCATAATTCACTGTATCACAATTTCAGTGGGTCAGAAGTTTACATACATTAAGTTGACTGTGCCTTTAAACAGCTTGGAAAATTCCAGAAAATGATATCATGCTTTAGAAGCTTCTGATGGGCTAATTGACATCATTTGAGTCAATTGGAGGTCTACCTGTCGATGTATTTCAAGGCCTACCTTCAAACTCAGTGCCTCTTTGCTTGACATCATGGGAAAATCAAAAGAAATCAGCCAAAATTGCAGAAAAAAGATTGTAGACCTCCAAAAATCTTGTTCATCTTTCGGAGTGATTTCCAAGAGCCTGAATGTACCACGTTCATCTGTACAAACAATAGAATGCAAGTTTAAACACCATGGGACCTGGATAGCATCCCAAATCCCTATGGGCCCTGGTCAAAAGGGGCCCGTAGGGCAGCAGAGTTGGCAGCACATTTAAGACTATTAAGCTAAAATTAAGCTAAAATTCCAGATCTAGCTAGCTAGTGATACTGCATATGAAGTCAATCTAACGACATCACAATGATGACGAAGGTTTTCCTACTAATTATTTGCCTCCTTCTGAAATGTCATTGTGTTTCCAAGCCATTAAATGCACTTTAAACTAAATCCTTATCAGCGGTAATTAGGTAGAATTAAGGAGAACGTTCAGTCGGGCAACAGTGCTCAAGATAATTTTAATAACAATATTGTGACACAACGTGCAATCCATGAATTTGTTTCAAAAGTTGTTCATTTTAGAATTATAAATACAAATGACTACCTTCAAACTGGATTTACCCCAACTCTGTCAAACAGGCAGCTATCGGACAGGTCCAGCAGGTCTTTGGTTGGAGAGATAGAATGCGGGGGGGTTAAAGGATGAGAGAGAGAAAAAGAGGGAGGGGTCTGACTGGACAGGTCCTTAAAAAGGAGAGAGGGGAAAGGTAGAACTCAACTCAAAGACAGGACAGAGAGAGAGATACCAAGTGAAGACATCTGAAGATCTCAGAAGAAGTGAAGCTACAAGTGAAGATTTCAGAAGGTGAGATTTCAACATCAGTTCATATAATACTGTATCTTTCTGCATGCCAAATGACATCTTATTTCCTATGTAGCGCATTACTTTTGACCAGGTCCCATAGGGCATATGTGACCCTCATCAAATGTAGTGCACTACATAGGGAATAGGGTGTCATTTGTGAAGCGCTCCCCTGAATTCAAGAGCATAGACCTTTCCTTACCATTGAAGTAAATAGTGAATCTCAGATATTGGATGCTTCCAATTACTTTTGTAGTGCACTGTGGGCCCTGGCTGTTCAAAAGTAGTGCACTACATAGGTAATGGGGTGCCATTTGGGGTACATGCATATTCCTGTGTGCTAGGCTAATCTCCTCTGTGGTGGAAGAGATGATACCTGGTATTCCATTGCCCTTCATTAGCTGAATCTGCTCTGATGTGATAGTACTGGAATACATCAGATAAGTGGAATGGCTGGGGGTACTCCAGGAGAGGTTAGGGAAACACTGCACTTACCTACACTCTGAAGTACTCACCGAATTTGACTTGATGGCTTCTCTTTCACTGTCTTTGTCTGTCTCTTTGTGTGTCTCTCGCGCTCTCTTTCTCTCTCAGGACACTATCACCATGGCAATGTTGACCATTCTTCTGCTTCTCAGTGCTGCCTTTGCACTGGGCAATGCCTTAACTCTGGACGAAGCAAGTAAGAGAGTTCACCTCACACTTTACATCATTATTTTAAATGTTGTAGCAGAGGTGTGTGTGTGTGCATGTGTGTTGAATGACTGATCTACAAATAATACTGAGTAGTTATTTATGATGCCAGGTAGATCAATCAGTCTCGACTCACCTTTAAAGTTGGCTGCAATTTGGAACACGCCCTGTGTCTTCTCCTTACAGATTCTATGGTGGCATTTGCAGCAGATAAAAAAAGCCCCTGCCCCAAAGGCTGGTTCCAGTTTAATTCACGTTGCTTCATGTTTGTCGAGACTAAAAGGACATGGCCCGAAGCAGAGGTATGATGATTACCCTCTACTGTGAATTAAAGAAGTTCAATTGAAATCAACTCGCTTATTTGGTTTGACGTTACCTTAAAGGTGATTTGGTCTTATTTTAACAGGCACCACATGGAGGTTCAGTATGTAAAATCCTGAACCTCCCCTTTAAGTTGCCTAATTTGAATTTTCTATAGGCTTTGCAAAATGTATTTAATTTGTGGAGTCAGGCCTGTATATTGGAACCCACAGGTCATGGGTTAAAACAGAGATAAACTAATATCTCTAAGAGCCTATTTAAAAGAACATTAGTTGTGATGGCCAATATTTGATTGTGAGAATTTGTGTTCTAGGACTCACAAAGACTGAACCACTGACTAATACTTACATTATGTCTTTGTCCCTGTCTACTGCTTGCTTTAGCGCCACTGTATGTTCCTTGGAGCAAACCTGGTGTCTGTGCAGAACACTGTAAAGTTCCTTGGAGCAAACCTGGCGTCTGCGCACAGCTCTGAGGAGTCCCAATTTCTACAGGCGGTGGTGTTAATCAAGACTGGCGGTTTCCCTCTTACCTGGATTGGAGGATATGATGCTGTTCAGGCAAATGTGATAAAGGTACCCAATTGTCATATTTGATCAAAAGTTAAAATACCTTAAAAGAAAATGACTCAACAGTTAAAGGTATACTCTACCTGAACAGTTCAGCTAGAGTATAATCACAAATTAATAGGATTTTTGTTATACTCATCAATATGTCAAGTCAGGGCCCGTACTCACAAAGTGTCTCAGAAAATTAATCCTGTTAAAACCTGTTTTAAGACAAACAACTCCCAACAAGAGTTTGGGGTGATGTTTAATATACCGGTCAGACAAACTCTGAGCCAGGAGTAAAATCAACTCATTAAAGTTTATCTCAGCTGGGAATCATTACATTTTGAGGTACTACAAAGGAAGAATAGTGATGACGCTCTTTGACGTGTTACAAATGATGGGGAATAACCAATCGCAATGAGACTTCGCCACCTGGGAACTCTATTGCATACTTCAGACTACCATGGCGAATGTGACTTTACATCAAATGTTGCAATGGTAAAAAGTTTGATATAATTGTCGCCTGACACAATCTCTTTGCGTTCTCTTAATTATTTCCTAACATGTTGGGATGCATGTTTTGTTTTACCAATTCTGATATTTTGAATAATGTCATAGGCATATTCAGGGTTGGGGAGTAACGGATGACATGTAATGGATTACACAAACTGTAATCCATTACATTACCAGAAAAAAAGATTGTAATCAGATTACAAATACTTTAGAAAAACTAGATGATTACTTCTAGGATTACTTTTCAATTCAGAATGGATGTATTTCTGTTTTCTCAATGACATTCAAATCAGCGTTGAATAAAGGCTCAAGTTTAACTTTGTTCCGCCTGAGTGAATCTGACTTCAAATCAGAGACCACTATGATACCAAATGTGTTTGATGGGTCGCGGGAAAAGAGCAGGAATAGGCTTTTTTAGGCTACAGTCCAAGCTGTGTCTTCCAATGGTGCAACTGCTGTCGGCATCCAAAGATTATCCAACTTGAATAAAAACTTGGAAGTTAGGATGACAGCAGTGGTGTAGCATGCGGGAGATACGGCTATCACTTATTTTGATAATATTACCGTTATATCCACACACTGGTCACTCCTATTTAACAATTCTGAATGGCTTTGGAACAGTAGGCATCAAGTTCCTTTCCGATAATATTGCATAAATGCTTGAAAGGGCTATTATTTTTACCGAACAAAGCCCCTAGATGCTTTCAATTGCCCAATTTTATAGGCATGCCCAATTTAGGCATATTTTTTAACAACATGTTATTCCGCTTGAAAAACATGGTTAATGAAATAATCGGAAAGAAATGTGATTATTTATTAGCCTAGTGGTTACGAGTATTTAGGCATATCATGTGAATAAGGCCTCAGGTGAAATCATTGTCTAAAGCGCAAGAGATATTGTTGCTTGTAGGTCTAGATTATTTATGAGGTCAGATCTACGTTTGGAAGATCTTATAGATGTACAAAAAAAGTTCACTGCAGTATCCACTGACACACAGTGGCTTATAGTGGGCTAGCATAGTAGGCTAGAGTGAGTACTATAGCATCATAAACCATACATTGTTTTAATATCGAAAAATGTTTCCGTTTTAACATTCTGGAAGTTCTGTGCAGTGATTTCAGTTTAGAATGTTGAAGCCAACAAACACTATTTTTTCCCTTCAGACATATTTGCACGTGTGATAGAAGGGCACATTATGTACTGGCATTTTTTAACATGCTGCACGACGCTCCTCAGCTCAGCAACAACAACAATAACAATGGTGGTGGGGCGGTCAGTGGTGCTGTTTCCCCTACTGCGGATTCCATCTTTAAACGGTTGTACATTACTTGTATGTGATTTCTTTGATACTGAGACCTCACTTATTCCCCACAGGACAGGCTGTGGTTCTGGAGTGACGGCTCCAAATTTGATCACCAGAGCTGGGCGAAAAATGAGCCCAATAACTATAACGGTGCCAGAGAGCCATGCATTCAGATGAACTTTGGAGGTACAGTAAGCCCACTATAAATCACTGATCCATTCATCAAATTAAACTTTATTCATAGTAAGTTTAACAAATAAATTTGACACATACACACTTTTATTTTATTTTTGTGTGTACATCTGTGTTGATTTGAGGTAATTTCTATTCCACATTTCCTCTTAAGGTGAACACCGCTGGAACGATGAATTATGTGGAAAGAGCTATCCCTCTGTGTGCTCCATAAGAACCTGTTCAATCCGTCAAACTATCAACTGAAACCAAATATACTACTCCGTGGTGTCAGCATCCTAACTTAAAAATGTTCATGGTCAAGTCAAATACTTTGTGAAGATTATTTGTTGCTGTAAAATGAACGTTTTAGTTACTTGTTGCATACATAAATGTTGAGTAATGATTTTGTGGTTTGGTGTCAATAAAACAGGTGTGCACATTATTTTCTCTCATGAGTCATTATTGAACATGAATGATATTTACATAATTGTCAAATCCTTTGAGATGATTCTTAAAGATACAGTATAGGATCTGGGAGTCTGTTCAGCGGTCATTTAAATTATGTGATATTTTTCCATTAATTCTTGAATAATATAATTAATAAATGACTCTCTTTTACGACCGAAAAGGCTTTATTACTCCACAAACAACACGAACGTAAACAAACAATGTATATAGCTTTAAAATAAGTAAAAACATTATAATGTGCATGTCATAGACTTTCAGTGTGCCCTTTTTGAATTTGAGAGGTGTTACATTTCCCTGCACCATCCATTCTCTCTATACCAAGAATGTAGCTTTCTGTTTCCAAACTCTCACTGGGTATAGACGTGTGAGTACAATATGTGCTTGTTAGAGCCACACGTATTAGACTTGTATGGAATGGTGTGATACTCACAGTGTGACATGTTTATTCCCTCTGTTAACAGCTAGGTAGTATAATTACATCAACATGATCATGGTAATGAACACATTTCGTTTTGTTATTTGCTACTTTGCACTTGCTGAATGAGCGAGAATGTGAATACGATATAGTATAATATAATATTATAGCCTAGCACATCATGTTACATTACATTGTTAAACACAAAAACTGTTTTCAGTGACAAGTTGGTGAGAAAGCCAGTCTGAAGCCAAAAAATAAAGGGAATCACGAGCACCAATGCTCTAGCAAGGTTTTACAGCACACAGCTTTGACCTACCACAGTAGCTATGTTGGGCAGCTGTACTTCAAACAACATGCAGGCAGGATGCTTAGGATTCAAACCCTGTCAACACCAATCAACATCCGCCGGTTGAATATAGACAGAGAGTGGGACAATAACTTTAGTTCTGGACATTCTACACAAAATGTAGAGCTATTTCTTTATTAGATACAAAACTTCACAATGTAATTTTACATTAAAATCATAATTGAAAGATTATTGATGAGAGCCTATGTACGTTATACAGTACCAGTCAAAAGTTTGGACACACCTACTCATTCCAGGGTTTTTCTTTATTTTTTGACTATTTTCTACATTGTAGAATAATAGTGAAGACATCAAAACTATGAAATAACACATATGGAATCATGTAGTAACCAAAAAAGTATTAAACAAATCAAAATAGATTTTAGATTCTATAAAATAGCTACCCTTTGCCTTGATGACAGCTTTGCATACTCTTGGCATTCTCTCAACCAGCTTCATGAGGTAGTCACCTGGAATGCATTTCAATTAACAGGTGTGCCTTGTTAAAAGTTAATTTGTGGAATTTCTTTCCTTCTTAATGCGTTTGAGCCAATCAGTTGTGTTGTGTCCAGGTAGGGGTGGTATACAGAAGATAGCCCTATTTGGTAAAAGACCAAGTCCATATTATGGCAAAAACAGCTCAAATAAGCAAAGAGAAATGACAGTCCATTACTTTAAGACATGAACGTCAGTCATTACGGAACATTTCAAGAACTTTGCTTCTTCAAGTGCAGTCGCAAAAACCATCAAGAGCTATGATGAAACTGGCTCTCATGAGGACCGCCACTGGAAAGGAAGACCCAGAGTTACCTCTGCTGCAGAGGATAAGTTCATTAGAGTTAACTGTACCTCAGATTGCAGACCAAATAAATGCTTCATAGAGTTCAAGTAACAGATACATCTCAACATGAACTGTTCAGAGGAGACTGCATGAATCAGGCCTTCATGGCTGAATTGCTGCAAAGAAACCACTACTAAAGGACACCAATAATAAGAAGAGACTTGCTTGGGCCAAGAAACACGAGCATTGGACATTAGACCGGTGGAAATCTGTCCTTTGGTCTGATGAGTCCAAATTTGAGATTTTTGGTACCAACTGCCGTGTCTTTGTGAGACGCAGAGTAGGTGAACTGATGATCTCCACATGAGTTGTTCCCACCGTAAGGCATGGAGGAGGAGGTGTGATGGTGTGGGGGTGCTTTGCTGGTGACACTGTCTGTGGTTTATTTAGAATTCAAGGCACGCTTCACCAGCATGGCTACCACATCATTCTGCAATGATACGTCATCCCATCTGGTTTGCGCTTAGAGGGACTATCATTTTTTTTTCAACAGGACAATGACCCAAAACACACCCCCAGGCTGTGTAAGGGCTATTTGACCAAGAAGGAGAGTGATGGAGTGCTGCATCAGATGACCTGACCTCCACAATCACCCGACCTCAACCCAATTGAGATGGTTTGGGATGAGTTGAACTGCAGAGTGAAGGAAAAGCAGCCACCAAGTGCTCAGCATAGGTGGGAACTCCTTCAAAACTGTTGGAAAAGCATTCCTCATGATACTGGTTGAGAGAATGCCAAGAGTGTGCAAAGCTCTCATCATGGCAAAGGGTGGCTACTTCGAAGAATCTCAAATATAAGATACATTTTGATTTGTTTAACACTTTCTTGGTGTGATTCCATATGTGTTATTTCATAGTTTTAATATCTTCACTATTATTTTACAATGTAGAAAATAGTAGAAATAAAGAAAACCCCTTGAATGATTAGGTCTTTCCAAACTTTTGACTGGTACTGTATGTAATCATTAATAATGATTTATAGCCTATATATAATTGTAGGCTTCATGGGACGCAAACCTTCATCAAATGACAAATGTGTAAAATTGCAGGAAATTAGCTTCAAAACTCAAAAACATTTCCCTCCACCCTATGGCAAAATGTGTAGAATTGTAGGAAATGTGTTATGAAATTGGATAATCTTCTCTCCGCCCCATGGCAAACTGCTTAGAATTGCCACAAACTTGCTTTAAACCTGCAACATTTTCCTGTTATAATTTTAAGTGCCTATGAAACTGCTACGTTTCTGACCAAGTGCATCATTGAAACCATCTGGCAGTCTGCTCAGTCAGCGCTACGTTATTACATGTTTGTTTCATGGAAAAATAGGCTGTTGATTGCGCACACGGGAATACGTCTGTAAAGTATAACTCTCCCTTTATCAGAATTTAGTTAACAATTCATGATTATTTAGTCCAACACATTCATTAAAATGTAACTGTTTTAATCAAAGAATAATTCCACAAGACACACGCCAAGCTTACATTTTTTCAGCACCACGTCGGTCCACAGTTCAGCACCAGGATAGCACACGTGATGTCACTACCTTAACCTCACACTCAGTTTTGCAGGGTTCCTTTTTGTTGTTGTCATTTTAGCAGACACTCTTATCCAGAGCAATTTACAGGAGAAATTAGGGTAAATTGCCTTGAACAAATTTAACAAACATTTCAGGGGATATCCAGGGATATACAGTGCCTTGCAAAATTATTCATCCCCCTTGGCGTTTTTACTATTTTGTTGCATTACACCCTGTAATTTAAATTAATTTTTATTTGGATTTCATGTAATGGACATACACAAAATATTCCAAATTGGTGAAGTGAAAATAAAAAAATAACTTCTTTCAAAAAAAATTCATAAATAAATAACGGAAAAGTGGTGCGTGCATATGTATTCACCCCCTTTGCTATGAAGTCCCTAAATAAGATATGGTGCAACCAATTACCTTTAGAAGTCACATAATTAGTTAAATAAAGTTATCCTGTGTGCAATCTAAGTGTCAAATGATCTGTCACATGATCTCAGTATATATACACCTGTTCTTAAAGGCCCCAGAGTCTGCAACACCACTAAGCAAGGGGCACCACCAAGCAAGCGGCACCATGAAGACCAAGGAGCTCGCCAAACAGGTCAGGGAGAAGTACAGATCAGGGTTGGGTTCTAAAAAAAATATCAGAAACTTTGAACATCCCACGGAGCACTATAAAATCCATTATTAAAAAATGGAAAGAATATGGCACCACAACAAACCTGCCAAGAGAGGGCCGCTCACCAAAACTCACGGACCAGACAAGGAGGGCATTAATCAGAGGGGCAACAAAGTGACCACTTTAAGCCATACACTCCTCAGAGCTGGGCTTTACAGAAGATAAAAATAAGCAAACACGTTTGGTGTTCGCCAAAAGGCATGTGGGAGAATCCCCAAACATATGGAAGAAGGTACTCTGGTCATATGAGACTAAAATTGAGCTTTTTGGCCATCAAGGAAAACGATATGTCTGGCGCAAACCAAACAAATCATTTTTTTTTATTTGTCACATACACGTGTTTAGCAGATGTTATTGCGGGTGTAGCGAAATGCTTGTGCTTCTAGATCCGACAGTGCAGTAATATCTAACAAGTAATATTTAACAATTTCACAACATATACCCAATACACACAAATCTAGTAAGAAATGGAATTTAAGAATATATACATATATGGACAAGCAATGACAGAGCGTCATGGACTAAGATACAGTAGAATATTATAGAATAGAATACAGTATATACAGTGGGGGAAAAAAGTATTTAGTCAGCCACCAATTGTGCAAGTTCTCCCACTTAAAAAGATGAGAGAGGCCTGTAATTTTCATCATAGGTACACGTCAACTATGACAGACAAAATGAGAACATTTTTTTCCAGAAAATCACATTGTAGGATTTTTAATGAATTTATTTGCAAATTATGGTGGAAAATAAGTATTTGGTCAATAACAAAAGTTTCTCAATACTTTGTTATATACCCTTTGTTGGCAATGACACAGGTCAAACGTTTTCTGTAAGTCTTCACAAGGTTTTCACACACTGTTGCTGGTATTTTGGCCCATTCCTCCATGCAGATCTCCTCTAGAGCAGTGATGTTTTGGGGCTGTCGCTGGGCAACACGGACTCCAAATAGATTTTCTATGGGGTTGAGATCTGGAGACTGGCT